GATTATGAACAGCCCATTCGTATGTTGCTATTTCATCATCAGCCATTTTTGCACCACGATACGATAATCCTTTGAAATATCGATCTTGTAATGTTTGTAATTTTATATACAAAGGTAGTGCTAATGGCATTGGATTTTGTCTTAGAGAACGATAAAAATCTGTTTCCAATGTGTATAAACGTATGAGATGTTTAATATGTTCATTGGAATTCTCTGTTAAAAATTTATATAATAATTCATTTGCTTTAGACGATTCTGGATCTTTGTTAGCTGTGAGTTCTCTGTCAATTATATCTTGAAGTCGATTAACAATGGCATTCAATGACATTGGTGCATTGTCATTGAATTTATCAGCGATAAATCTTCCGAGTTTTGATTGACACATAGTTATTGATGTAGTAGCATAACCAATTTCAAGTTGTTTTTCAGCTTTTGTTTTGTAAGTTTGAACCGTTGGTATTTTTTTTGTTTCAGACGATGACGTCGTAACGGGAACAACTGTTTCTTTTTTCTACAAAAAGAAAGATGGTTAAACTTGAATATAATTCTCTTTCTACTTAGATTTTTTATAGCATTTATAGTGATTTCATAGAAAGATCGCATTTAGTTGTTCAATGCTTTTCGTGAACAAACTTGCATCAAAACCTTGGTACTTTCCTAATTTTACTGTATCTTCTTTTGATCAATCAGAAAATTTATTTTGCAAGTATTTTAATTTGTTTTTTGAGAGAGTTTTTCGAAATACAAGCGATAGTTATGTCAGCTACTCAGTTAACTTTTATTATAAATACGATAAAATTTCATAACAGAATAATTGCACAGAAAAGCAGAAAACGAAAACATATTTATATTTTTCAACGTCGCTTTATCATATCCAAATTGAATACTACTTACCAAAAGTTGGTTGACTTTGTAGAACTCTATGAACGAAAGTCAAAACTAGTGAGTGAAATATTGAATGAGCTGGACACTCGGTACTACGAAATTAGGCTTCTTGAAAAGTTTTATGTTTGCTATCTTATATTAATTGATAAACTTTTATTAATTTTTCGACTTCGCTTCGAATCTTATATAGACCAGTATTTTCGAATAAAATCTCTTCAAAATAATTCGATATGTTTCATTGCACTATAATCATTAGTGTCAAAAACCCGAAATCTGAATTAAGATATTCAGTATCTTACTCAAATATTTAGATATTTGTGCGATACGTACCGAACAGTATTTCGGAATATCCGACTAACTGAATATATAATTTTCAGATATAAGATATTCAATATCTAAAGACAGATTTCAGATTTGATTTTTATGGTTATTAACAAAAATTGTTTACAATCGATCAATACTTACGTCTTCTTTTGGTCGTCGAACAAAATCGAAACAATCTTCTGTAAATTCATCTTGAAAACGTCGACTACAATTGAAACCTTGTGGTCGTTTAAATAGTCGTCGAATTTCATCATTGGCAGCTTCTTCGTAAGCAGTTAAGCCATATCCATTTATTTTCGATCGATCACATCCATGTTCCACCAATAGTTCAACTATTTCTTTGTGACCATAGAAGCAAGCAGCATGTAATGGTGTACTATTGACATTTGGTTCCAAAGGATTCAGATCATCTTTGGTTTGTTTGAGAGCCATCAGATACTTTTTCACAAGATCTACATCACCATTTCGACATGCAAGATAAAATTCACTGACTTGAGATGATTTTTTGGTAGTCGACATATGATACATCCGATAATATTCCTAGAAAATAAATCAAATTAGGTTTGAAAAGTCTATTAGGTATGAACGAGAAAAAATGTCACTAATTCTGAAAAAAAAATTATTTTATGACACATGTTGATTCAACCATATTGAATCATATAAGGTGATTCAGTGACATTATCTTAGAGATATGAATATGATTCTTCGACTGAATTTTCAGCAACGAAAGTTTAGCGAGAACTAGGCTAAATTGTTTCCAAGAATTACCAAAAATTCAATTTATATTAAAGGAAACTCACAGATCTTACTTTGAGATTAAGAAATGCGTTTCTCGTATCCATGCAAAACTTGTGTCATATATTACTTTTT